TTGTTTTCTCGTGAAGATCATCTTTACTGATTCCACTATATATGTGTACAACTCCGATCATTCTGTCGACACAGGGTCAGCTCGAGCTTCACCAGAGTCGGCGGCTGTGATTGTTCATTTGATGGTAAGACGAGGAGGTAATTTTGCAGAACATTCTAGTCACCATGGGAGACACAACAACGGAGAGACAGTCGTAATCGTAAGTACTTATAATTTTTTTAATTTGAAAACTTAGTTTTTAGCTACACGGTATCGAACTAATACGTTATTATTTATTTGTCAGGGTGATTGTGACATATTCGCAATAAAATATATCAATTTTTTTAATATAGCATATAAAGTTGATGGAATCATCTAGTTATGTCAACAAGCCGAGCCAAAACTCAAAGTTTGGGCTCGATTCGAACAAAACAGGTCCGAGTTTTTTGGGCTCTAGCCGAGCCGAGTAAAAGCTCGGCCAAAATTTTTTGGCTAGACCCGAACCTTTACGAGGCAAGCCGACTCGATTTTTGTATTATTTTTTTTCATGACTGCTACCTGCGTTGCAGCAGCTAAATTAATTTTTTTTAAACTTCTTTTTCTAAAACAAGGGCTGCCCCAGGCTCAAACTGATGCCCCAAAGGGGCTCGGCCCGAGCCTTGACTCAATGGAACCGAGCCACGAGCTGACCCGAGCCGACGAACTTTTTTGCCATCCCTAGAATCAACAAATCCCGAATACAAAATTAGATGAATAAGGAATAAGTTAGCATGCAATTTGTATGAATTCAATTGTGCCATAAATATTGTATACTTAATTGTTTATTTAATTGTAAAATAATTGTAAATATTGTATATTTATTTATTTATTTAATTAAGAAATGATTGTGAATATTGTAAGTTTAATTTTTTATTTATTTGTGAAATAATTGTAAATATTATTCAATTATCAGTGATACCATTACACATCCGTCTCATACTTATTTAGGGGAATCTGACTTGTATAAAATTAGCGAATATGATCTGTTGCTCTACACCTACCGCACATACGCAGTTAAGGAAATTTTCTGGTAGATGGTATTCTAGACGTACGTGAACGTTCAGGATCATGCGATTCAACTTCGGGTGGCAACAATCAATTAAGTAGGAGAATGTGGTCGGAAACTTCTCACTCGACTTCATTCGGTAGAGAAAATAGTCTCATCATATGCTGTTTTCTAATAAACGGTTGTGTAATAAGGAGAGCATACAGTTCTCGCTACAAAGCCTCTATACATAGCCACATCGACTTTATGGTCACATTCAAAACTCTCCAACTAAAATCTACTGCAAGTGTAGGTGTTATCAGTTAAGTCCACAATGTATGTCATATTACATGCACATTTCAGGAGAAGCACAATTCATTCCGTGGTTCCACATTTAAATTTTTCGCAACCTTTGCAGCTTTGTAGAGTTTATCCTCCTGAGCCGTGGCTAGTACGCTCGTGTAACTCTGTGATTCCGCACGTCGGTCGTGAAACCACTGCCGCAACTTGTTACGAATGTTCTCAATATTGCGAGAAGTGGTAACTTTCGATCCTTTTTGAATAATACATTAATAGACTCTGTATTGTTCAACGTCATCATATTGTATTGACGTTTTGAAAAATGTGATCACACCCAATATTCAATTTCCATTTTTGTTAGATACTCCTGTACCAGGAATGATTTAATTCTTATTTCTACCATGAATTTATTACACTCTTCAACACTAGCAAATGTAGAACAAGCAAGAAGGTATATTGAGTGTGTTTTTCTTAAGTGTATTCTTGTATATTAGAATCAGTATTCAAAAGACCATCATTTATAATTTACAAAGACTACCTATTTATAGAGTTCTAGCCGACGTAGTGATCGTTGGATCAGAACCACATGACATCATATCCTTGACTAGAGTCTTACATCACAAAGTCAATCATATATTAAATACATTGACAAAGGGTCAGTCGTCCTATACATTAGGCTGACACATTTGACATTTTTTATTACAATCGTTACATCAATCAATCCTAAAGATTGTCTACAAATCTTGTAAGAGATAGCTTCAGCTTCAGGGACTTCAGATGAACTGAGGGCTTCGACAGGAGGGAGCTTCGTATTGGTAGTTTAAAGTTCTCGGCTTCTTTTTTGATTTCTTACTTAGCGCTTCGGTTTAAGAGTTTCAGCCATTTAGGCAGTGCTTCAAAGCGCTTAAAAGCTTCAGCAATTTAGGCAGTGTTTTGGCACAGGAGCTTCAGCCATTGTTTGACTTCTTAGCATTTGACCAATTGGATCTTTGTTGACTTTCCTTACGACATGGCACTTTGACTGGAGCCTCGGTGGCGAGGCATAACAATAGTCCCCCAAATTTAGGCATGATTATTTATGTAATACATGGGCTTGTATAAAAAAAATTTGTTATGAGTGGTTTTTACTCACCACAATAGTCCCCCAAATCCAAGTATAAATATTTATATTATAGTTAGAATTTGAAAGTGCCTGATTTACATTAATTATCTATCAATATTGTTCGAAGCTTTGTACCTTGTGATTTTTGAATTTCTAGAATAAATTAGAGGAGCGTCGTAGGACAAATTTTTAATTATTTTATATATTTTTAAATTTTCGATACGTTTCTGATA